AGCTGAGTGAATTGGTAGGCTTGATCAACAAGTGTTGAGGCAAGCAACTTGGGTGTTTTAGGAATCGATCCGTGGCAAGTCGTGTAATTCGGATCAAACAAATCTGTAAGAGATTGTGTAAAGGATTTCTAATAAAAGAGATAAGAGTCTTTTGGAATTACTGTGTGCACTATATTTCTCGCTGTATCTCGTTTCAACATTGTCTAGGTCCCGACAAAGCATGGGAGTTGTTCCAAAAGAAAGTTGGAGAAAGTAGATTGAAAATCCATGCAGACATTCCTGATCTCGCAAGACTAGTCGCAGGAAAATGTTCTGGCTTACCATTGGCACTCAACGTGATCGGGGAAACTATGTCATGCAAAAGTACGATACAGGAATGGCATCATGCAATAGATGTTTTGACTTCATCGGCAGCAGATTTTCCAAGCATGAAAGATGAAATTCTTCATATTCTCAAGTATAGCTATGACAATTTAAATGGAGAGGTGGCGAAATCATGCTTTCTTTATTGCTCTCTTTTTCCTGAAGATTATCTTATAGATAAAGAGAGATTGATAGATTACTGGATATGTGAGGGGTTCGTAGATGAAAACCAAGGTAGAGAAAGGGCAAGAAACCAAGTTTATGAAATACTTGGCACTTTTGTCCGCGCGTGTTTATTGGTGGAAGGAGAGATGAAGAATATATCATATGTTACTATGCATGATGTGGTACGTGACATGGCTCTATGGATAGCATCTGATCTTGGAAATGATAAGGAGACGTATATTGTACAAGCAGGTGTTGGATTACGCAAGATGCCAAATGTCAAGAATTGGCAGGGTGTGAGAAAAATGTCATTGATGCGTAATAATATTGAAATGATATGTGGCAGCCCGGTATACCCTAATCTTACAACTTTATTCCTTCAGAAAAACAAATCATTGGTTTATATTTCCGCTGGATTCTTCATGAATGTTCCAATGCTAGTTGTGTTGGATTTGTCAGGCAATTTATGCCTCTCTGAGTTACCGCTGTTTCAGTTGGTCTCGTTACGGTATCTTGATTTGTCACGAACAAGCTTGGAGCGATTTCATGTTGGTTTACAAGAGTTCAAGAAACTAATCCACTTGAATCTGGAGTCCACAGGGAAGCTTGAGAGCATTTCAGGTATATTAAATATGTCAAGTTTAAGGTCACTTGGACTACAAGGATCCAGCAAGACGCTAGATATGAGCTTGCTCAAGGAGCTGCAGCTCCTGGAATATCTAGAAAAGCTAACCATTGATATCAGTTCAGGGATAGTTTTGGAGCAACTGTTAAGCTCTCACATGTTGGTGAAACGCATTCAGAAGCTAGGCATCAACAACCTTGGAGAATCAATGAAAGTATTGACATTGCCTACTACGTGGGATCTACGTAGGCTCAACCTATCAGCATGCAGAATGAGGGAAATACAGATTGAGAGGACAACATTTTCGTTGAACAATACTGGTCTCACAACAACAACTCCATGCTTCTCAAACCTCTCCAGAATCGATATAAGTATATGCTATCTTCTAAAAGATTTGACGTGGCTGGTTTTTGCTCCAAACCTTCTTCATCTTAGAGTTACTTGCTCACATCATTTGGAAGAGATAATAAGCAAGGAAAAAGCAGTAAGGGTTCCTTTTCAAAAACTAAGAAGCCTTTACTTATCTCATTCACCTATGTTGAAGAGCATTTACAGGAGTCCTTTGTCTTTTCCATGTTTAAGCAAGATAAGCATTGAAGGTTGTCCGATGCTGACAAAGCTTCCATTAGATTCTAATAGTGTTGTCAGGTTTGAAGTATTTTTCTTAGAATACAGAGAGGAGGAGTGGATCAAAGAGGTTGAATGGGAAGACGAGGCCACTCAATTGCGTTTCTTGCCTTTCTGTAAGCTTGTCCCTGACCTGACAATAATGCCAAATAAATCTAATACCCATACTGAATCGATAAATAGTGTAGCAGGCAGCAGTCAGTAATTAAATTATTTTAAATATTTTCAATGGATATTCATTACTCGTTGTCAACATTTGTGTAACTTCATACTCTATGTATTCACATATATATTTTACTTTTGAGAAAATGAATGTAATCACTTGTAGTCTAACTCTGTTACATATTCATTAAAATATTTAATTGCGTTAAAAACTTAAGAGAAGTAGGCTAAAAGTTTCAGAAAAACAAGAATCAGTACATATGTGACGTAATCGTTAAACACTTATGTACTGATTTGGATATGCACTGTTTTGTACACGTCCATTAGGCTGTTTTTTTTGTTTTGATATGCACATGTTCTTATAAAAGAGGTAATTAGTACGTAGAACTAGTCGTTTCACTTTGAGATCATCTACTGAAGTGTGGAAGCCACAAAGATCTTACTTGCACTAACTCTAACTTTGTCTTGAACATAGCTAATCTACCACCACCGCCATCACTAGTTCCTCAACCAATGTCTCACGACCTCTCCCCTCACCCTGAGTCGTTAATGCAAAAGTAATTTGCAAAAAAAAAAGATTAATATATATATATATATAAAAACTAATATTGTGGAAAAAAGGCTGTTAAATATTAAAGTAGTTTAGTTAGAGAACATTTTGTTATTAGTTGCCAAAGTGTTAAAATTTGAAATAATTTGTTTTATGTAATTAGTTTATAGAAAAGTGTGTTCTTATTGTTATTTAGAATTTGATGCATTATTTAATAAATTAAATTATAAATATAATTGTTAAATTATTTGTGAGTTTACATTATTTTTATATAACTTAATATGACATGAAAGATCATCTATATATATATATTAATGTATACTAGAAAACATATAATGTAAACCCGTTTTATTTTGTAGTGAACAATAAAAAATCTACATTATAATGAGGGAGTTTACTCACTCCTTAGAATGCCAAGTTAGTAAATTTGTGGGTCCCACATTTATTTTAAAAAAGATCATAGTCTTTCTAAAATAATTTTAAACAATGAATGGTTGTTTGGCCAAGTGGTATTAGGGAAGAGTTTGATTTGCAAGGGCGTGAGTTCAAATCTAACAGCCTGCATTTTTATGTTTTTATTCCATTTGGTTTTATCTCATATGGACTTATTGTTTTTAAGGCACAATAGAGTAAAAGCAGCAAGTGTTCCTTTTCGAAAACTAAGAAGCCTCTACTTATCTCATTCACCTATGTTGAAGAGCATTTATTGGACCTCTTTGTCTTTTCCATGTTTATGCAAAATAAGCATTGCAGGTTGTCCGATGCTTAGAAAGCTTCCACTGGATTCTAATAGTGTCGTCAAGTTTGAAGTATTTTGCATAGAATACAGAGAGGAAGAATGGATCAAAGAGGTTGGATGGGAAGACGAAGCCACTCAACTGCGTTTCTTGCCTTTCTGTAAGCTTGGCCCTCACCTGACAGCAATGCCAAACAAATCTGATACACATACTCAATCGATAAACAGTGTAGAAGGCAGCAGTCAGTACTTATATTATTTTCAATATTATCAATGGATATCGTTACTTTTGAAAAAATGAATGTAATCACTTATAGTCTTAACACCGTTTGTATATTCAGACAGTTATGTATAATGTACTCATTTGGATATGCATTGCTTTTGTGTATGTAACATGTCTAACCATTAGGCTGTTCTTGTTTTTTTATTTTATTTTTGCACTTTTTCTTATACAAGAGGTAAGCAAGTAGAACTAGTTGTTTTACTTTGAGATCATCTACTGAGTCAGAGTGTGGAAGCCACAAAGTTCTTACTTGCACTAACCCTAACTTTGTCTAAAACATAGCTAATCAACCACCACCGACGGCACTAGTTTCTCAACCACTGTCCTCTCTCCCCTCATCCTGAATCGTTAACACAAAAGTACTTTGCATAAAAAAAAAGGTTTAAAACATCAAAAGAACTGATATTGTGGAAAGAAAATAAAAAGCTGTTAAATATTAAAGTAGTTTAGTTAAACGACATTTTATTCTTAGTAGTTGTCCAAAGTGTGTTAAAAAATTAAATTGTGTGTGTTTATGTAATTAGTTTATAGAAAAGTGTGCTCTAGTGTATTAATCTCTTATAAAGAGGTTCTCTTTAGATGATTGGTTACTAAAAACAACTAGATTTTGATCCGCCCTTTTGATTATTTTTATAACAAATCAAATTTATAAATTTACATGTTTGAACATATATTTACATTTAAATGTGAAATTTAAATATTACACATGAATCATTATATTCAGTGTTATGAAACACAATCTAGACCCGTTGTTAATCGACAAAATCGATGACTTTATGTAATCCGGTTTGGCTTTTTAAAATATACTAAATATTTAAACTTTTTGTAAAACCTCCAAAAATCTTGCTAAAACGTGGGACTCGGCTACTAGTTCAAAGTGCGGAAATATTTTTGAAAGAAATCAAATTTATATGATATAAATTTGTATTTGTGATTATGTATCAACATTTAAATGTTACACATGAAGCGTTATATTCAGTGTTCTGAAACATAATTTGAACCGTAGTTAATCGACAAAATTGATGACTTTGTATGTAACCCAGTTTGATTTTAATAAAAAAATGTTAGAAAAATTCTATAAACCCGCAAAACACTGTGTATTAAAGCTGATATGCTTTATTTTTGCAAGAATATTCAAAAATATTTTGAAATGGATCAGCTCATTAAGCAACCCATTAGATAGATATTGTTTGTACAAATTATATAGTTTTGTAAGCCCAAAAACTAAAAGACCATATTGCCATTAATGGAAATAAAATTTTTTTCATATTATTAAGGATAGTTTTAGAAAAAGTAAAAAATCATTAAAGTGAGTGTTCATGTTTTAATGGTATCAACTAGATTTTGATCCGCGTTTTCAAAACGCGAGATTATTTTTGTAACAAATCAAATTTATATGCTATAAATTTGCATGTTTGAATATGTATGTACATTTAAATGTGAAATTTAAATATTACACATGAACCATTATATTCAGTGTTATGAAACACAATCTGAACCCGTTATTAAACTGACAAAACGGATGACTTCATATGTAATCCGGTTTTGTTTTTTTTTAACTTATATTTAATTTTTTTATAAAATCTCCAAAAATCCCGCTAAAATCTGGGACTCGGCTACTGGTTCAAAGTGCGGAAATATTTTTGAAACAAACCAAATTTATATGATATAAATTTATATTTTTGATTATGTATCAACATTTACATGTTACACATGAAGCGCTATATTCAATGTTCTGAAACATAATTTGGACCCGTAGTTAAACCAACAAAATTGATCACTTTGTATGTAACCCGGTTTGGTTTTAAAAAAAAATTGTTGTAAAATTTTTATAAACCCGCAAAAAGCTATTTATTAAGGCTGACACACTTTATTTTTGCAAGAATATTTAAAATTATTTTGAAAGAGACTAGCCCATTAAGCAATCCATCAAATATATATTGTTTGTACAAATTATATAGTTTTGTAGGCCCAAAAACCAAAACATCATATTGCCATTAATGAAAATAAAAATTTGTTTATATCATTAAGGGTATTTTTGGAAAAAATAAAAAATTTATTAAAGTGAGTGATCATGTTTTAATGGTATTGATACCATTAAAGCAGAAACATTCTGTTTAATGAAGTTTTTATGTTTTCCAATTATACCCTTATACTTATATACAAATTTAATTTATCATTAAGGGAAATTTTGTTATTTTTATTTGGACCTAAAAATTATATAATAATGGATTTTACTAATGGGCTGATTCTCTAATTTTATAAAATATTTCTTGCAAAATATATTTTCTTTGTGAGTCAAACGGGTCAAATTTTTTGAGTCGTAAAAATGACTCAATCCGCTGCAGAGCGGGTCGGACGAAGCGATTTTGACTTGCTTCCCAACATCATGCGTAGTTAATTGATATTATTTTTCCTAAATAAAACTACACAATTATATACAATACATTTACATAGATATTGAGGATAATAATAAATTAAAATCTGCATTAATTTTAAAAAATTATATTAGATAGTGAAATTTTGTTACTAAATGCTTCTATGAATTAATCTCAAAACTGAAAAAAATGGGTCATTTAATTGTTAAATATACAATTTTTCAAGTACAAATTTTCGGTACAACCATTGTTAATATATTTAGAAACATAAAATATTTGTCTGAGACATTATAAAATAAAAATTTCTTTATATCCGCATGATAACTTGATCTTTATTGTGTACATTTTATATCATTAAAACAAAAGACTTATCGATCCATCTATAAATAAAACAATAAAAATAGTACCTTTAAATACGGATCAAAAATCTAGTTGATCATATCAATTATCCACGTACAAAGTCACGTAGGAAACAACCGTGTTTCTGATAGAACATAGTTATGGATTTCTGTTTAAAATTAACATACCAAAGACCTATATTATCCAAACTTACCCAAATGGGATTTGGTTTAGTAGCTATTTTTAACTAACCAAAAACAGAATCGAAATTTGAATTCAACACCCTTGTACAAAATTTTATATATGAATAGATTAATTCTTCGTTACACAGTGGCAAATGCAACATATTTTTCATTTTTTTTTTCAAATACTTAAACGGTATTTAAGCTTTAATTAGATTTTGATCTGCGTTTTCAAAGCACGAAACAAATTTACTGAGGGAAATTTTATATAATCGCATTTTCTTTTTATTTAAAATAGGCATCAAATCCGTAACCAAAGTCTGAACCAAACCCAAACCAAAAAATCTTATACGTATCTGGTTCGAAATGTAAGAAATACCAGATTGGATCAAGTACGGTTGTACAAAACATATCCTAATCAAAGTGATATTAGCCGAACCCGAACTGGTAACACAAAAATCCAAAAACCCAATGAAAATATCCAAATTAATTACAAATGAAAATATTTGAAATATATATATGTCCTTCAAATATTCAGGTCTAAATTTATTTTGTCATCATCCCAAAATGACAAC